TAACGTATTGTAGCTGTTGTGACAGATGTATTATAGCTGTTACTAACTTACTGTGGCTGTTGTGACAGATGTATTATAGCTGTTACTAACGTATTGTAGCTGTTGTGACAGATGTATTATAGCTGTTACTAACGTACTGTAGCTGTTGTGACAGATGTATTATAGCTGTTACTAACGTACTGTAGCTGTTGTGACAGATGTATTATAGCTGTTACTAACGTACTGTAGCTGTTGTGACAGATGTATTATAGCTGTTACTAACTTACTGTAGCTGTTGTGACAGATGTATTATAGCTGTTACTAACTTACTGTAATACATTAGTAACAGCTATAATACACCTGTCACAACAGCTACAGTAAGTTAGTAACAGCTATAATACATCTGTTATATTGACTACATCACATCTTCACATACAATAACTACAGTACATGTCATTTTCCACGACTACAAGAGTGCCGTTTTTTCAGAATTATCTCCACTACCCAGAAATGCGAAGTCTTTAACCATTTTCCACAAGTTTAAGTTTGCAGATGAACACTTTAAGCGCACGTCAAAACATTACTATTTCGGTGGAACTTTAGGAAGAGTAAAATGATCGGTTTGAGAACTTGAATGGACTGCAACTGCCTGTTGAAAGAGAAAAATACGACGTTTGGACTTTTATACTAAGGCAATATTCAGGTCGATGTGACAGGCCTGAAGAAGGCCTCAGTACAGAAGCCGAAAAGTCGTTTCCCTTTCTTTTGATAAGCAGTTGCAGCCCATTAAAGCTCTCAAATCATCCTTACTAACTGTTCAGAAAGTCTATTTCCTGAAGTTCAGTATTTCGAGTTGCTAGAGCACTATTGGAAAACTTCACCCAGTTGGTTCTTATTGTTCCGTACTTTCTTTAACCACTGTTAGGAGGATTAAGTTTTCTACAATTACAAAACATTTGTCCTTAATATCACCCATGACTGTGATGAACTACTGCGCGAATGTCGTTTTCTCAAAGATGTTTTGTTCTTTGGTGAATCTGGCAATTTAATTATTGTCATTACAATCCAAGCAAATGCGAGATAGTATCTAGGATCAGTATGTATTTAATGTTTTATTCCTACAGAAATACAACTTCAGCGAGCTGATATACTTAAGTTGAACAAGAATTGAAACCAGTTAACGGTACAAAATACCACTTTATTATATCAGGTTGTGAATTTTCAACATATACATTCAAATACATCGATTGGGTTGTCAAAACTAATAAGAAAATTATGAATTGAAATACACCACCGGGTAAAATGCGTTATAAGAAAATGTGCGCTAGTCTGAAAATGTTATTTACAGAAGAGTTTATTTTCCAGAATATCGTTCTTCGTTTATCGTAAACCTATGCAAAATCTCCAGAACTAGAAAATAACAGATTTGTCTTCTTTCTTTTTTTTCACATTATTCTACAAGCTATAGATAACACTGAATATACAACAAGGCATTAATTCTGTTTATTGTTACACGTTAAACAAAGGTTGGGGGATGTGTTTTAGTTTCAATAAAGATTTTTTTCTTTTCTTAAAAATACATTAAGTACTAATAGAATTATGTTTTGTATTTCCGATACATTAAGATAAATAACTTAGAAAACAAACTGTTATTGATGTAGAGAAATTCTTCTCATGTACTACTTGATATTTTGATAAGAATATTTAAATGCTTAAAACGTGTTTAGTACTAGTTTTGACCACTTGAAGGTTGTTGCTGGTTGCTTGAAGTTTAGCACAAAGCTACACAATGGGCTATCTGTGCTCTGCCCACCACGGGTATCGAAACCCAGTTTCTAGCGTTGTAAGTCCGCAGACATACCGCTGTGCCACTGGGGGCCCACTAGAAGGCCACCCACCAGAAACAAAACAAAACTTAGAATATTTATCTGATTTTTATATAATAAAAAAATTATCCTTACAATGTGAAAACAGACAAATTTACAGGCTTGTTTATCACGTATTATGAAATACAGGGATCCCTCGATTAATGTGCATTCGATTAATGCGTTTTCGTTTAGTGCGCTTAAATTTTTTTATAACTAATACTCGATTAGTGCGTGCATAATACTCTATTAGTGCGGTAACACACATTTCATTTTAACCATAGTAATTGAAAAGTAAGTTTTAGGCACCGAAATTAAAAATAGAAAATGGGTAACTATTTTACTTGTCAAGTTATTACTAGAGTGTCCACACCGGGGCCCCCGACCCCGTCAGCCCGGGGTATTTTAGCGATTTTTTCACCCCTTGCCCCGGGGTATAATACTTGAACTATCCCGGGGCAAATCTTTACTATTTTACTGAACG